ACAGAGCTATAAGGTAAGATGGGATTCTTACGAAACCATAAACGACAAGAAAGACAGAAAGGAATGGAAAGTGAGAGTGAGAGAGTGAGTGTGTGTGTGTGTGTTTGAGAGAGAGAGAGAGAGAGAGAGAGAGAGAGAGAGAGAGAGAGAGAGAGAGAGAGAGAGAGAGAGAGAGAGAGAGAGAGAGAGAGAGAGAGAGAGATAAAGTGTGCGTGCGTGTGTGTGTGAGAGAAAGAGATAAAGAGTGTGTGCATGTGTGTGTCCTGTGCATGTGAGAGAGAGAGAGAGAGAGAGAGAGAGAGAGAGAGAGAGAGAGAGAGAAGAGAGAGAGAGAGGAGAGAGAGAGAGAGAGAGAGAGAGAGAGAGAGAGAGATAACAATTTTGTGAAGCAAACTACGAGAAGAGACAGAGCATGTACTACCGAGGCCGAATTCCCCACGTTCGGGACACCTCGTTCCGACGAGCGATCACTCCTAACACTAATTATGGAGAGCAGACTCAATTCTAAACTGGTATTTGACCTTAATCTTCTTGGAACACAGGGCCGAGTGCGGAATTTACAGAGACCTAGTCCTCGAGGCGCTACGTTTCAGGATGCACTAGATCCCTTTATCACCCTTCGAGGTCGGGGTAATGGTTGTTGTCCTCTCAACTGCCGCGCCCATTTCGGTGCGTGACTGCTGCATTCCAGCTGTTTAGATAAGGATTCGCAAGGCGTGGACCAGTCTTACCCACATAACGTTTAGAGCACTATTTGAAAAGAGAGTTCAAAAAGGACAAATAATAGCAAATTACAGGAGGATCTGCATACCACTGTATACCATAACAGGTAAACAAACGCCATTTGTCCCGTGGCATCCGTTCACAAACAAGTCCAGCGAAACGAACGAACAATTGAATGGCAAGGAACGGCGGATTTCTACGGCGAGGAGTATTTCCTTATCGCATTTTCCCAAAAGTAATTAGATTGACCGACCGCGGCCGGCAGTCCTAACTACATCGTGGCCTAATGCGAGGTGAGGCTGGGTAGGAGTCATTGCTTCAAAGTGCGTATGGCCGCAGTGGGATCAATATAGGCTACACTGTTGAAGTATTTCAGTGCAGGGGCGGCTTGGGCGTGGTGGAGGCCAGGGAGGAGCTGGCCAGGGAAGGAGCCGACGGTGCGGGGGCCTCTCGCACACAAAGGGCCGGCTTGCGAGAGTTCGGGGACACTTCCACGGGCGCTTGGCTTTGGGATCAAGTCATTGACAGAGTGCTGAATATTACGCGCCATCGTAACCTTCATCTCTCGGGAAAGTATTATTATCTAGATGAAAATTGCCCGTGATACTCTCTTCCATTAGCAATTTAGCATCACACATCTCTCTAACGTTAGGTATCGATTTAGCTTTTATGATATAAGTTGGTCGTAATGATTCTTTTATTTCAGCTATAGGATAGGTAATAAAGATGCAAAGCTAATTCACTGCTAATGGTAATCATGAATTACAAGCAAAAACATAAGCTCAGATGTCACCTTCACTTTCATATTTGTCATATGAGGACATTTCTCAGTACCAAACATTTGCAAAAGAATTTCAGAAAGAAAAAATATTTTTCTGGTGTCTCTGAATTGGAGTCTGTACCATGAAAGCTCGTTTCCCAAGGGACAGTAATTTTTCTCTATCTTTCTCAATATATGTTGCCACGATTTTTTAGGGAAAATTGTTGTATGCAGTACAAGTGCATGGAACATACATAAACAGAAATGAAATACATGAATGTTTCCTTCCTTGTATGTACAATCAATTTCTAAACCGAAAGAAGCGAGTGAAATGGTCTAGGATAATGCCTGGCTTAGCTACTGAAACACGACGGACTGTAAACTGCGCATTCTGAGGTGTTCCAAAATGCCAGCAGACAATGCCTGCGGTCTTGCGAGGGTCAAGGCGCAGAGTGGCTCTGTGAATGGTAGGGGCTGGAGGGGGGGGGGGCGCCGCATGTTACGCTTGCGTATTGCGTTGCTCGGGGCTCGGACGGACAGGTGAGAGAGGCAGGAGGCGCGGCGGACCCCTCAGTGCTGCCTGGGCCGTCCTGCCGTTCACACAACCCGCAGCCACCATGTCCACTGACCACCTGTAACACATTCGCTGCGCACATCTGGTGCCTTTTTTCTTTTTTTATTCACGGCTTCCGACGTTTTTTATAGTGAGCCCAATTTTTGTCTAGTGTGAGAAACAACCCTTTATGTGAGTGTGGGTGGGAAAGGATCACGAGAGTGGTCATGTGAGGTCAAAGGTGACGACGACATAGAGCGCGCGGACACATGTTGACCTGGAAGTGGCCCGACGTCGGCTGGTGAGGCCGTAACGCTGGGGTGAGCTGCGGCGCCTGCGGAGGAGCAGCGTGCTGGCGAGGGCGGGCGAGCCACGACCGAGTGCGGGCTGGAAAGCTGCGGCGTCAGGCGAGGTGTTCGTCACGTCCGGCGCGTCTCTTCGAGTGTGTGACAGCGAGGAGTGGG